GGGTGGCAGTGCTGAGGAGACAGATTTCACAGTTGAATAGAAGACTGCAATCTTTGCATGCTGCTTGCTGCTGCTGTCTTCACCCCCCTAGCTGTAGCCCTCTGATTACCAATCTCCCATCTCACTTCTCCATGTTTCATCCATATCTCTAGCATTCCAACATGCGGGCTGCTTGTCTTTGCAAGCAGACACAAAACACGTAGCTGGAGTTTGAAAGATGTCTTGTGCAGTGGGTGGGATAGGACCACCCTGCTTGTGTGGTCATAGGCTTTGTTCCAGAATCTGTATGCTACTTTCCTCCATTGGAGTAACTCCTTTCATTTGGACCTTGTTGGGGTTTAAATCTGCTTTAAATCTATTGACTTCTTAAGCTTTCCGGCTAGTATTTATAACCTTGCAGAATATTTTGTTATTGAAAAAGCTGCATTATTATTATTATTATTATTATTAAACTATGTACAGAGAGAGTGGAAGGCATCCAAATATTTATGAATAACTTTCAAACCTAGAAAATTAAAAGACAAATCAAGTAGGCAAGGAAAAGGCAAAAATCAAACAGGCTCTTAAGGGGAAGAAAGTCTTTGCACTTCAGGTTCTTGGAAAGAATGTTTTGTTTTGTGCTTCTGACTTTTTTGTGGTCTCCAACTTTTGTAACTAGATGAGTGATCAATTCATTGTATGTATCCCAGCTCAGTAATGCTCAGTAAGAATCAGAGAAGAGCACTGTTTTACTGTCTCGCTGTTTTTTGTAGCCCCGTTGTGGGGATTGCAGGTAAGGAGATTTAGAAATCATGGAGGAAGGTACTCCTCAAAATGCCATTAAATCTCTTTAAAAATTTGAGGCAAGTTCCTTCCTAATGAAAGCTCCTTTAGATTATGCAAAGAACTGGGAATAAGTGCTGTATTTTAGCTTGTTGTCTGTCTGTAGGCCATTCCCAGCCATATTCGTGATGGGATGATTCAATGGAGTCTTTCCATGATTCCTGTATACTGGAATTAGATCTTCATGCTCCTGAGAAGTTCCTCTCCGGGGAGCAGGATGAAGAAAACTGTGCACTTGCAGATCAGTGATACCATTGAAGTAGATTGCATTATTTTCTTGGAAAACTCCACAGTGAAGAATGACAACTGAATTCTTGGTACGTGAGCTAAATCGGGTCTCTCTGACTTTATGTTCTAGGAAGGAACCAGTACATCTATCAGTGTATAAAGACAGCACTTGTGTGTTGTGTACAGAGATTATTTCCCAGGCGAGTTTGCGTGGGGGAGGAGAGCTTTGGGTCTGTTTTTTCCTGGCAGGGAGATAGAACGATGTTATTAACTAGAATCTCCTCTGGAGATATTCAGAACTTGCTTGGATGCTTTCTTGTGCAACCTAATATAGGGAACCTGCTTTAGCAGGGGGGTTGGACTGCATGATCTCCAGAGGTCCCTTCCAACCCCTATGATTTTGTGATACTGCATACAGTGTGCCATTGTGTGAAAGGAGCAGCAATGATGTGAATGCGATTTATCAGTGACACGAGCCTAGTTGCAGGTCAGTATGTAGCAGTGTGTGCCAGGGGTCAGTGCTGGCAGAAAAGGTCCTGGGGGTCTCGGTGGACACCGAGTTGAACATGAGTCAGCTGTGTGCCATTGCTGTCAGGAAGGCATGTGGTAGCCTGGCTGCATTGGGCTAAGTGTTTGCCAGCAGGTGGGGGATGTGATCCTTTCTGCAGCACTGGTGAGGCTGCACCCTGCTGGGTCCAGTTCTGGGCTCCCCAGTGCAGGAGAGACATGGATGTTCTCAAGAGAGCCTAAAACAGGAAAGGCTGAGAGCTGGAACTGCTCAGCTTGGAAAAGAGCTCTATTATAAATTACCAAGACTTAAAGGAATTTCTGAAGGACCCTAGAGAGATTTTTGTAAAACGTTTAGTCTCAAAGCAGGTGAAGTATGTGGGACTATGATCTGTCTGAAAACACAGTCTTCTGAAGAGCTGGCATCTCTGCTAGCTGAGTTTGTGTCTCTGTCTTCATTATTAGGTATACTGCCATTCTGGATTTAAATTATATGTATTTTTGAGTTCCTGCACACAGGATTCCTAATAGTTGGACTTGATGATCCTTGTGGATCCCTTCCACCCATAATATTCTAAGATTCTATACATTACCTCTTGACTATGTTAATTTTTGCTTGGAAAAGTTGTTTTTCTGTGTGGCGCTTGGCTGCTCTTTCTGGATGTCCAGAAAAAATCCTTTGCTGTGAGCATTTCTGGTATAATTTTCCCTGAACTCAGGAGCACAGAGTGAGAAATGGAGTAGTTGGGAAAGGAGGGATTAAAACAATCAGCAAAAGAGCCACAGGCAATGGACAAAGTAGTTAAATAGGGAGTTTTGTTGTACTCGGCTGGCATTGCTTGGTGCTGAGTGGCAAGCTGCAACTAAGATGTGATTCATCATCTTTGAAAGCAATATTTGTGATCCCAAATGATAATAGATGATAGAGAAGGGTTTATCACTGTATAACTTCAGAGAGGCAAGCGGTTGGATTCCAAGGCAAGTGAGTGATTTTTGAAACTCTATAGTGATTTTATAATGAGAACATCAGGGGAAAACTTGAATTTTGCACTTTTTGGTACCGCAGTTTCCCCTAAAGCAGATTTCCCAATTTCTGTATGAGGACTGATGTGTAATCTCTTGCCCAAAGAGTCATTTTGAAGGGGTGATCACTTTGAATGCAAGCTTATGGCTTCTATGTTGAATTAAATTGCATGTTGATTGTTACCACTGCTCCATCAATTTGTATGATACATCTCATGTAAGTACTTTCTCAATTCCTCTGTTTTGCATTTATTCTTGCAGCACTTACAAATGTGTCCTATGCAGTTAATTTTTATGTATTTGGTTTTAGATTACATTGTAAATTCGTATGCTTGAAACCGTACATGATGGTAGCACTCCTGTATGAAGTCCTACTTGTCTGCTGGTGGTTTGCTATCACCAGCAGCTTGGTTTCTGTCTGTGTGCATGTGTGTGTTGGAAGGCACGTCTTTGATCCTTGTCCTCGGGATGCTACATTTAAGCTGTTCCATGTTCTGAAGCAGCAAACTGAGCGGGGTGTCAGATTTCTAGCTTTTAATTCCTGAGGTTGTATCGCGTCTGAGCTGCGCACACTGCGCGTTCCAGGAAAACTGGAATTCCAAACTGTTGCTTGTTTTGATTTCCTTGAGAGTAAAAGTTTTCAAATGTGTAAATTGAAAATGATGGCATTCTTCTCTGTTCATAGGAAATGTAGATGACTTTTCTTGTGTTTGCTTGAAGCAGCCAGAGGAAAGTATCCCTGCTCCTCCCCCGCCCCCCAATTCTGTCGTGTTTGGTAAATAACATGTTTGCAGATGCAAGGTGTGTTTTGTCTGTGCTCCAGGAAGGCATGGTTTTGATTCTGTGATTTAAATACCTTGCAGCCTGATGGTGGTGGTTGGTAACGCTGCCCATGGCAGGCAGTTGGAACTAGGTGATCTTTAAGGTCCCTTCCAACCCAAGCCATTCTGTGATTCTGTGGCGAAGGAAGAAAATTCCTGATGTGCATTACCTTTGCTGTTGTGTTACACGCTATGTTGTGATTGTTTCCCACTGCTCTGTACTGCAGTGCCATGGAAAGCCAGGGAGAAGCAGTCAGGGCTAGCCTCTGTTCTGAGGGCTTAGTAACTACAAAAGAGAGATTATAATGCTTTGTTTACAAATTCTAGATTACTCTTTTTTTCTCAGTGGGGAGAGGGGTGTGATTTAGTTAAACTTCATGTCCTGAATTGATAGAATCATTGAGGTTGGAAAAGACCTCTAAGATCATGTAGTCCAACTATCAACCCATCACCACCATGCCCACTAACCACGTCCCTCGATGCCACATCTCCACGTTTCTTGAACACATCCAGGTTGGTGACCCCACCAACCCCCTGGGCAGCCTGTTGCATTTCGTTACCACTCTTTCAGAGAAGAGATTTTTCCTGGTATCCAACCTTTTGGGGCAATTGCAGGCCCAAGTTCCTCTCCACTGAGCAGAGCTTTGAGTGGCCACAAATTCTGAATATGCCCATGTATCCCTGTCGCATTCATAAGCTGTTCTGAACATCTTTAGTCACTGTAGTATCTTACTGGAAATAGTAACTCACGATGAGAATGTTCAGCAGTATTTCTTCTCTCCAATAAAATGATTTCCTTTGATCCACCTTCTGGATTTCAGATACAGATTGCTTCCACAATGTGTGTTCCCTTTCAGTGGTAGTAATCTTAAGCAGTGGTCGTGTTTAGTACATCAGATGAATAATGTATGAGAAGGACCTCACTCTGATGTAGCTGGGTATGTGTGCCTAGGATGACATGGGAAGCACGTGACCATCAGTCTCAGACTGCAGAACAGAAGTGTAGAAGAGCAGGAGGGTGTATGTTCTCACATTTTCCTAAAGCTCTGTGGGAAATAACTGGCATTATATTTATTTAGTCGCTGAATCAAAATATTATTTGCGATTGTAGAATAAAAAATGAGAAAAGTGATGGTTCATTTTTCTAACGTCTTAGATCAGTCCTGTGTGTGCTTTCTACTTTTGCTGTTTTGTCAAAATGGTTTTGTTCTTTAAAATGAAGATTTAAGTACTGTTCATTAAAAAATAGTTGCATGAATGATTGCAGAGTACTAACTCTGCTTTGGTTTTCACAAAGGAGGTAACAAAGATACGGGCTATGTTCTTTGCAGGGCTAATTTTGCGAATACATTTTAGAGTTAACTTGCCCAACCAGTAGTAGAATATGTTGTAGTCTTAGACTTGGTCTTCAGTATGTGAAATATTTTGGGTCGGAGAAATGTAACAGATGCCTCCCGAGGTGTCTTAATAAAAATGCACCAGAGGCATGAAATCTTTACTTGTAATTTAGTGAGTGAAGCTTTTTTCTATTCTATGAGTTCGATTTATTTCCTCCTGGAGATGGTATTTTTGTGAAATGATACTTGTCTTTATCTGTAGGTTTCTTCAGAGAAATCGGAATCCTTTGCAGCCATGTTGAGACGCTCACCTTTGATTCAGATGGGACCTGCCAAAGATAAAATCGCCATTGGTCAAATATTCCATGTTGTAGAAGATGACCTTTATATAGATTTTGGTGGCAAGTTTCACTGTGTCTGCAAAAGACCAGAAGTAGATGGAAAGTAAGTAATAAATTATGGTAAGTGATTAAAATCGGTGAATATCAAACAAGTAGGTAATTGGACTTGATCTTAGACTTTCATGGTTTGTATGAATTATGTGGTTAAAACTAGGCAAGTTTAATCCTCGTGCAGAATTAATATTTGTGTAGCTCAGGAGTCATTCTGTTGTATTCATATATTTTTTGTAAATTTGCTTTACTGATATCTACATTGTTTATGAAGACCAAAGGAAGTTGGTTTTCTTTAAGGTGTAGGTTGTTTGCAGAACCCTAATTACAGCTCTAGAGTGATTTGTTAACATTGCCATTAACATTTTGTGATAACTTGTATATTCAAGGTAACAGAATTTTTCTTCAACTGAAATGCATGCTGGCACAAAATTGATAATGGACTGATAAGTTTTGTGATAAAATGACATTGTGTTTGTGTGTGATTTTGCTTTTGTTCCTGCTTGATTCAACACGGTTAATGTGCTCTTCAGTTTGTTTCTTGAAAATAACAGATCCTTGCAATTTCTGATCAAGCCACAGAACAACTTAGTTACAGCAGTGCTTCAGTTACAGATAAGGAAATCTTGTCAGTTTAAGAAGGTGGTACTGTAAAAAGAAAAGTCAGGTTTTCATCGTGAAGGCCTTAAGCCTAATCCATTACTTTTGTAAAATAAACAGTATTTCTGTGTGTGTTTGAGAAACCTCTGCTCTCTGTGATTTTTAAGGAGACAGCATAGCACATGTGAACAGAATGCAGACTGATTGAGTCTTGTTCTCCTCAGTTAGAGCAATCGAATACTTAGAGTTGGAAGGGACCTCTGAAGGATGTCTAGTCCTACTCCCCTGCAGTGAACAATTCTGTGTCACTCTGCAGCAGCTGCAGTTGAGAAACTCCTTTTTTTTGTTGTTTCAAATCTCCCTGAAGGGAGTTTTCTCATTGTCCCATTCCCACTGATGCAGTTGGCTTCGCCTTTTGGCCAGTGGGGCTTTAGTCACTGAGAAACAGGGAAGTCATTACTATCTGAGTTCTTAAAATAAGCTTTATTTATGGACGTGCTTCTCCATTTACTGAATATGGAATTTTCATGCTGTATCAAGTGAAAGCAACCGTGGGCAGGAACTGTCTTTTCTAAATATATGTATGTGAGATGATACACGGGGGAGCTTGTACGTTATTTACTTGTGATATTGCAGTTCTGAATAGATTATCGGAGTCAGTGTGCTGTCCTGAACTATAGCAAGTACACTTGGGAAGGCAGTAGTTAAACTGGAAAAGTAGGTGAGCAACAGATTCTGTTGGATCTGTGGAAGTCACATTTATAAGCTTTCTTAACACCTTATGATTATGTATTATTTAAAGATATCTTGCCTGTTTGTTTCCAGGATGCTTTATTGCTTTGATTTTAATATGGAAGCAAAATACCATTTTTTAAAATTTATAACATTAAAACATTTAGATCCATCTCTTTTCCTCATTTTTTCCTTGAGAGAGGAGAAGCATCTGTATTAGTCTGCAAGACCACTGTGTCTAAAACATTAAGTACGTTTCCTGTGACGAACAGCTCTAAAGTGATTGGTTTTTTTAAGAAAAACTTTATCAGAAATAATGACATCTTTATGCACAAGTTTGTGATAGTGAACTTCTTGTATCGATTTAAGTCACTAACCAGTGTTCTGTCACATGCTTCCTCATGTGTTGTTAGCATCTTGTTTTGTAGTGGTGCTCTGTAATACTGAGATGCCGAGACAGTGTGTGGATACAAATGTATTTCAGTGAGGTACATCTTTCTAAAAAAATCTCCCAGGTGGGCAAGTGTTTGGTCTGATGTTTCTTACTCCTTTCATCTTGCTCTTTATGTTGGATTTCTTTCCTGTTGGCGCATGCTGGTGCTCAGCACTAGGAGTGTAAACCTGGCATTGAGAGGATCTAGGCTAATAATAATTTGCCTGTCTGTTCTAGTGATCAAAGCAGGTAGACCTACAAACTGTCGTGCCTCCCCCTGCCTTGGAGTGGCAGTAGAGTCTGCGCATTTTGGAACTGAAGGCAGTTCTTCACCTAGTAATACAGGCAGCATCCCCAGCACCAAGAATGTGGTGTCAGTGGAGTAGCAGCGTTAATCCCAGTACACCCTTACGTCCCCAGCTTTCATTTCACATCGCTTTCAGTCCCAGAACCTGAATTTGTTGATGCTTTCATAAGCGTTTAAATGCTGTATGGACCAAATCCTCTAAGTAGAAATATTTGCATCAGAAAAGTAATAATTTAAATAAATCTTACCCCTTTTGTGAAGTTGATTATATTTCTGTAATTGGAACTTAAAAAAATTTATTGAGGTTTATCAAAGAACTCAATTGCAGGCAATCTTCTGTAGTTTGTCGTTAACTTGTTGTAAGGTGCTGTGTCATATAGCATAGTTGTTCCAGTCTATTACTGAGTGGGTTTGTAATGTGAAATTTGCAAAAGTAGTTTGGAATGAGAAATAAACCCAGCAAATTGCTGTCTAAGTCAACTATGTGTACCATCAATGCTATTGAGATGTTGCTGAGTTTGGATCTCATTGCTTATTAAAATGTAGTAGAAAAAATACGCAAACAAATATCTTGTACTATTGTTTCCATCTGTGTAATTAGTAAAGGCAGTGGCTCATTGATTTACTGTATAAAGTTTACCTTAACAAAACAAATACGATCTTTTCATATGCTGGCCTTTTAGTAAGTGCAGATGCTTAATGTCTTTTGCTGCTTATGCACCTTAAAATAAGAAGTTGTTCCCTTTGGAAGGGATTAACTGTTTTTGATCACCAGAAAAAGAGTCAAAACAGTACTACAGTACCTTCTTCCAGAAGTTGAAAGGAACCCTGTAGAATTTGAGGTCTGTATTTAGTGATGTGATTATATACCTTTGGTGGCTGCCTTAAGGCTCCGTTGCTGTTATTTCTGTTAATGCCTTTGCTGATGAAAATGACTTTCTCTCGGTATCTTACGGGCATGTTATCAGTAAGAATATTTACTGATTTGTTACCAAAATGTTTACTGTTTGTGCCAAGGAGAAGGAAGTACATACTAATCTACAGATAGATAATTTCTTGAAGGCCAGCTATTTAACAGAAGAGAATCAAACTTAGTATTCAAATGTGGAATTTCATAATCCTGGTTTTATGACGTCTGTTTTGTGAGCATGGCTCTTCTGGTACTTCTGAGTATTGGCTTTTTAGTATTTAGCAGCTCCACCAAAATGTATCTTTAGAATTCTTATGGTATTTAGCAGCTCTTTAGAATTCTTATGAGGGAAACCCCTTTCTCTTGCCATTTAAGTAGGAGGTGTCTTAATGAGGACGTGCTTTTGGTGCGTTCTTGGTTGTTTCATTCTTTGTTTTCTTTGGTACTGTGTGCTTACTTATGTAATGTCCTTTGATTTTTGAAAGTGCTGGAAGTTACTGAGAAACTGAAACCGTGTGAAATTCCATGTGAGATTCTCCTCATTCTGGTTCATGATCTCAGTGGGTTTTTCTAACATCATGATTCTCTGATTCTCTGAAAAACTACTGCTCTTAACCTGTTCAGTCCTCAGCCTTATGGTTAGGATTTCTAGGGATGTGCAAGTGAAAGACTGCAGTTCTACTGACACATGGCAAGGGACTTCATCCTCAAGACTGTCCTTGGTGAAGGGAAAAGATGATATCCTTAGCTTGGCAAATTTGAAGTAGCAACCTGAATATATTTTTCTGTCAGTTCTTCTTCATCCTTAAAAACAAAAACAAAAACCACCCCGCCACACACAAAGTAAAACAAAAAGAAGCAAAACCAACAACAGAATACTCCATCCCATAATAAACTACTAAGTAAAATAAATCTTCAAAGAGTAGTAATACAAAATCTAAATTGAATTGAGCCCATTTGAATTTTCTTTTTCATTGGCTGTTCTCCCTCTTTCCATCTTCTTTGGGAAAGTCCTTTCTTGGGTTTGAAAAAGCATATTTTATCAGTCTTGGTTGTTTTGAGATTGGAAGCATGTATCAGCTTGGAGACCAAAGGTACTGCTGGTGAAATGTCACCAGGGTCAGGCAAGGATGCATTTGGTTATAAATACCAATGGTGGGTTGCTATGTGGGATTTACTTCACATAACAGGAATACTTATTGTTATGATTACAGGATCTTATTTAATATGTGCTTTACTTATTAAATATACACTGTAACTAATAAATATATATTTTCCTGGTACACACTGACGTGAATGCTGTATTAAATTTGACTTTTATGCCAACAATATAGGAATTCAGTGAACACTGCAGAGACTTTACAATTGGCTGAAAGGGTCTGTAGGAAAGCCAGTGTAAAATAACTTTTCAGCTAGGAAGAACATGATTTTTTTTTGCTCCTTTCTTTTAACTCACAGAGGAAATGAAGTCCTGAAGAGGAACGTGTCTCTATGTTGTCTCCAAATGAGCAGCGCTTTAATCTATGGCAAAAAAGTTGCTGTTACAACCTGCTTCTGCCATTATCAGATGGAATTCTTAAGAACCAGAAAATGTGGGAAGGTGTTATGCTGACACTGCCTGTTGCATGATCTGCACCTGTGCTGTTAACGACCAATTCCCACTGAAATCACAATGGCTTTCAGCAATTTTCTGAAAGGATCAGCTTCCAAAATGGACTAAGTGCACTCTTCCGTGCAGGTGTAATGAAGCTTTATTTTCAGAGATTGCTGTAGCCTTCCAGCAATTCCAGCAACTTATCAGGCTATAGAATCAAAAGACATTTTCTTTCTGTTGGAGTATGCAGCCGGTGCAGGGATTTCCAGTATATCCTGTGGCAATTTTACTTGACACCTTTCATATACAGTGCATATTTGCCAGACTTAAATAGTACAGGAGTGGAAGAAATCACTTGATGTTGGCTGTGATTTAGAACATGACAGCTTAATGAGCATCATAAAACATTACCTAATGTTGTTTCTGTAAGTTGTATCAAAATGTTTATGCTGTTTGAATGGTTGCCAGGGTGAATT